TTTTGAGGATTTCCATTTCTATTGAAAAACATCGTTTTCTATTGATTTTAATCAACAAAACCAAAACGCTGAGAAAAATGCTCTCCGCTTGATTTTTTTCAATCGGCGGTCCTCTGGGAGTTTAGAAATCCAGGAGGCAGGAGCAGGGCCGGGCCGACTGCACTGATGGCTGGCTTTGGTAATGGGCGACTCTAAAAGCGCGGCGAATGTTGGCTGCTCGCAAAGGCTCGACGGACCCAAACTGGGCCAGAAGCCAAGCACTCAAAGCGGTTACGCCAAAGAGCTGAGGTTCACGTGCAAGTCTGATTACGCTGCCCGAAACTGAGTCTCTGGGAAGAGGCAACATCGTCCACGGTCTCTAGTCCTTTTGGGGCAGGACGTTGGAAAGCTTCCAGTCCAGCACAGCCTCAAGCCGGGAGAAAAGATCGCTTCTGGCCTCTGCGTTGTGCGACGATACTCCAGAAATGTCAGTCGCCCACCTGCGCCTGGCGGCCAGTTGGGTTTCCAGAATCCAAAACAGTCTACAGGAACGCCTGGCTCTGGCCCACCTTGACAACCCAAAAGCCTTTGATAAGTGCTTTGACCTGGCTCCCCCGGATCCGGATTTTGCAGTTCCCTAGAGACCCGACAACTCAGGAGCTCCTTGCTGCCGACAGGAAGGTTTGGGGTTAGCTTTGTAGCAGATGTAGTCCAAGGGTGTTGCAGTTGGTCACGTTGCCCTTGTAAAGCCGAACCCTGCCGTGCACCCCTTCTCTGTGCTACTGGCCCTCCCGTGCTCCGTGCTACTGGCCCTTTCGTGCCTGCCCTGGCCTGCCCTCTGCCCTGCCCTGCCCTGCCCTGCCCTGTCTTTCTCCGTGCTCTGGCCCTCCCGTGCTCCTGCCCCGCCCTGCTCTGCTGCCTTGCTCTGTTGTGGCCCCCTTCTCCGTGCTACTTGCCCTTTTTCGTGCTCCTGCCCTGCCTTGCCCTCTGCCCTGCCTGCCCTTGTCCGTGTTGCCCTCCCGTGCTCCCACCCCGCCTTCTGCTCTGCGTTGCCCTGCCCTGCTTTCGCTACAAGATGTTTCGAGGCCGAGGAAAAGTGCTCAAAATAATGCATAGAGGTTGAAAAAAAGATNNAAAGATTGTGCTCTTTTTCTGGGCCTCATTGCGGGGCTGAAAAAAGCTGGAGGTCGAAGAAAAGACATGCTGCGGCTGAAAACAAGATGAATCAATTGTGCGGCATAAGGTCGAAAAACGAGCAGCCCGAATTAGAAAAGTTGCCTGACTGCATCTAGCATCGTGGCAGTTCTCCGCCTGGGGCACGCGGATCTTTTTTTCGAACCTTGGGACATCTTTTCTAGACCTCGGTTTTTCGACCTCTACGGGAGAGATAACGCGAGATGAGAAGCAAATCGCAAATTAGGAATTGGCAAATTAAAACAAAAGCAAGCAAGGGAAAAAAGGGACAAAGCTTGACGCAACAGACAATAAAAATCAAAAAACGCTTTTCTTCACGCCACACGAAAAACGTTTCAGGGGGTTAAAAGCGATGAAAAGTCGTCTGTCCTTTTCGAAGGTACAAGAGTGCCAAAGTACTCACTGTCCGGTTTGGCGCTCCGCGACGCACATTGCAGGGAAAACTCCTTGTGGAGACACGTTTTTGAAAGCACCCTAAGTCTTCAAGAATGGCGCGCGCTTGCGGCGCCAGCTGCGGATTCAAAGCTCCCAAAAGCATGCCTTCTTCAGGTTTTTCCAAAGCGATTGGATGGCCAACACAGCACGAAGCTCAGGTGAAACAGACCAAAAGAACCCACAGCAGCGCGCTTGAAGGATGCTTTGACCAACCGTCCACTGGTTTATTTCGAGTCCCCACTGAAAGACAGCACAAAAACCAAAAGAACAGAATAAGTGTACAAGTGACCGGCAACCTTTAAAATCTATGATCTTCTCGTGCAACAGGAGTGAAGCAAAGAAAAAATCAAGTGAATGTTCAAAAACAAAGGCAACACGGTGGCTCCTTTCCGGCAATCGAACCTCTTCATACCACAGTCTTGTGTTTGCTCCACTAAACACTAAAAGCCATCCTTTTTTGAAGTGTTGCTTCTCAGCTCGAGGCTGGCCCGTGCGGAGACTTCGAAGGCTTCGACGCCTCTTTGCCGAAGGGTCCTCCGATGCAGCCACAGCTTTACAAACACCGACGAAATTCAGCACCCATTCACAAGGGCAGGCGACGGATTTGACCCATCCTGCAGCTTCACGCTCCGCCACGGTCTCGTTTGGCCGACTTTGTCTGGTGCCTACATGATTTTGGCAATGCCACATGGAATCAGAAATGGCTTCTCTTTCAGACCTCGGAACATCTTTTCTGGGCCACTCAACCTGATTTTGCGGTCAAGAAAAAAACTTTTGTCTTTTTTCTGATCGCCATTTCTGCATTGTTGCAAAGGCGCTCTGTGAATACGTGGATGCGTTTTTCCATGCAAAAAAAAATATAGTATTTCAATTGAAACGCATGAAAGCTGCGTGTGATGTTCTATAAGTTCATTGTGGCGTGGGTTTCCATTGTAGGTGGGCTCGAAGTTGTGTAGACACTTGGTTTTGCAATCCAAGTTCTAGCCGTTTCAAAATCGCGCATCGTTGGTGTGTAATGCATGAAAATCCATCCTTTTTGCTACTCGTTTTCACCATCATTGCCCTGGACCCTGAAAGGTTGTTAGTTTGCGGAAATCGAACCACAGATTCATTGCACAGTGAAAAATCAAGAAGGATCTTTTACATCATTTGCAAGGTAGCATGCAAGTATGTTCGAGCGGCAGGTCATGGAGAGTGCAGGCAATTGCCCGCTGAAGGTTTCAGCGTTGGTTGTTTTGTTCGACACCTCATGTCGTCTTTGTCGAGTCGAACCTTCTTGGCACAATTCGCCTCTTCGAGATCGTTCAACGCAAGCCGTCACAGCAGCAATGTGGCACCACAGACGAAGCATCAAAAATTCTTCCGTCGACCCGAATTGGAAAACATATTTACAGCATGAAGTCTAAAACGGGTATCCAAGTCTTGCAAGATGATAATTGCAAAGACACTAAGTAAACCGAAGCAGCCGCGCTTCGTTCGTCAGTGCCCAATTCTCCCCATAGTTTTTTTTCTCCAACCGATATTTCGTACCGGCCTTCGGTTCCAGCGAACCCAGCATACATAATGTGGACAAGGTGTGCACCTGCTACTCTTGTTGTGTTTTTCTTGAGAAGCTTGTCAACACAGCACTCGCTTAGTGTGGTCATACCCACATATCCAAAGCCGCTTTGCATCGTCTTGCGACGACTATGGGGCGAATCATGGTGTAAGTCGTTACAGTTGCTGCTATGCAGGCGTGCCTCAAATCATTCGCCGTCTGTGTCGTGTTTTTGGAAGTCTCTGATAGCAGGCACAATGTTGGTGGCATCACCGAGAACTGCAACGGGCATGGAGTTTTCCATCCAGGCCAGCATGGTTGAAGGATTTCGAGATGTTGTCACATGCCGTCGTACTCGTCATCTTCAAGCCTTCAGGAACGTCGGGAAAAGCCCGACTCGTGCTACGAAGTTGCATTGGAACACTGACTTCCGCAGAAGCAGCTATGTTGAACAATTCGACGTTCCGAACGTGTACCAAGGTGAATCATCCGAAGCGAATCTGTTCAGGCATTGCCACTGGGGTAGTCTGGTTGAGATGCCGGTGCAGACATGACCTTATGAATCTTATGAGTGACTGTGAGGGTTGCAGAAGCCCGTGTGAGTATCTTTGCACATCTCAGTGTCGAGTGGTCCACAGCTCGGGAAGATAATTTGAAGTGAAGACTCAACCTGTGATGCCTAAACAGAGAAGGGTTCCTTCTTCCAAGAAATGCAGGTGCTCTTGCTCCGCTGTTTTGGTGGATGAGGCTTCGGTTTGCGGAATCGGGCTTGTGCGAGTTGAGACATTGCGAACAGAAGAGCTATTCAAGCACAGTGCCTTACATGCCCAAGACGCATCTACCACAAGTGATGTGCATACATGGACCTGGCAGCAGGAAGGCACGAGTCTAGTTTGCTTCCGAAGGCCGTTCGAGCTGAAAGCCCTAACTGCCAACGATTCTGCTTTCCTGAGTCAGTGGTTTCGTGGCTTTGCTTTTGTCTTGCCTTCTGTACGCAATCTAGACGACGGCCTGAGTCTTCGGTTGACATGAGGCTGTCTAAGCAGAGAGCCATTTGCATCTTCGACACGCGGTAAGTTTGTGTATCAGAGTCATCAATGTGTTCGATTCTAGATGTTGCCTCGATGCAGGCAGATGCGCTCAAGGAAGCATTTGAGCTTAAGCGCAAAGCTGGAACAGGCGATTTTCTGTGTGCTGCGGTCTTTTGTCTGCGGAAGCCCGCTCTTGTTGAATTGCCCTGTGGTGCAGGACGCCCCGAGGTACACGCAGGCTCGTAGCAGCTAGCGTGTGTCAGACGAGCCGTTCCATTCAGGCAATAGAATCCGCGCAGAATTCATTGCCGATGGCAGGAGGAGTTGTCGAGCATGACAGTCAAGGATCTGAAAGCTCTGTGCAAGCAGAGGTGCCACCACTTAAACATGCCACTTTGTTGACGCAGAATTCCGGTTTTGTCCTAGCCCACGGCAGCCAAGGTGCTTGAAAGTTTCGGGTAAGAAAGAAGACCTGGTGCATCGGCTTGTGCAGGTTCGGGAGGATCAGTTCCATGCTGTTCGGATCTGCGCTTTCTGCCAGGTTACAGCAGGTTTGCAGCACTATTCGACTGCCCGCCACCTGGAATTCTACTTACAGCCGGGCGAGTTTGGGACGACGCATAATTTCTGATGGAACTTGTGCGTACAGTTGCTGCAAGAGACGCTGGTTAAGGCATCCGATAGGCCAGGAGAAACTGCTACAGAAGACACCTCACAGAATGAGGTGGGATACACACAGGCCTCGCAGTGCAGGGCTTGTCCTGATGTCTTTGTCAGCGTCTCGCCCCATGTCAGGCGCAGCAGGAGCTGAACGTCTTTTCCGTGTCTGACCTGCGTGATCTCTGTGACGAGAGGCCAGAGGGCCTCAGATGCCTCAGGCCCGATGTGGCCCTAGCGAAGACGCTGCAAACTCACTTTGAGGGGTCTGACCTCCACCGGGACCAAGGCACAGCGAGATTCTTTAAATGTTCTGGAGTGTGGTTGAGTCCTGACGGTGCGTTGCTGAGAGGCAGATCTGGTGCGCCGATTGACAGTCCAGCAGGACGGATGCTTGCTGCTGCTTGTGCCTTTTCTGGTTCTGCTCGCCCCGATTTCCAGGCCCAAGAGACTGACCGCGAGGAATCGAGAAACGCTCAAATGCAGCCTTTGCAGAGCGGACGGCTCGCAGCCCAAGTCAGCGTCAGATCTGAGGAACTGAACTCTTCTGACTCATTTCATGGTGTTCTCAGGCAGCAACTCAAGAGCCCAGAAGATAAGTTCCTGCAGGCCGCTTCGAGAGAGCTTACAGCTTGGTCTACGCGGCTACAAAGCACCAGAATTCTGCGACCAGGCCATGAAGTCGGATTCGCTGGACATCCACACTCTGGAGGACAGCGGAGCCCTGAAAGCCTTCGAGCAACAACCAGGGTGCGAAAGGAGCCAGATCGGTCGGGAGAGACAAAAGGGACATGCCATGATATGCAGCGGTTCTGTTCGGGCGACCGGGAGTTTGATTCATTTTTGATTCCGTGCAGGCTTGTGGTTAAGAGTCCGTCCATAACCTTCTGACTCGAGTTTCTGCTCCGAAACTCTCCTTGCAAGTGTTTGTCCTTGAAACAGACAGGAAATCTTTCAGGCAGAGATGCCGAAGCCAGGCGAAATCGTTACTGCCGGGGGCTCTCTCTCTGCCTTCGACTTGAAACGGCCGTGAATAACCTCCTGTCGTGTGTCTCTTTTGCCAAGGGTATCGTCACCTCTCTTGTCGAGTGGGGAGCCTTCGTTGAACTGGAACGGACCGGCTGGTGCGCGTCGCTCAATTAGGTAGGGAGCCGCAGTCTTGTCTGGGAGACGTTGCTGAAGTGCCAGGTCGGGTCTCATCCACATCTCCGAGGCCGCGATGCGTTGCAGGGCATTTCAGAGTTCCGGACCTGCAGCGGCCACTTCGCCTTGGCTGGAATCGGCCAGCTCAGCGACGTCTTCGTGGACAACATCGAGGACTACATCCAGCCTGGCCAACGGGTCGAGGCGAGGATCCCGGAGGTGTTCCTGGGATCCCCGAGTGGCGACTCGCCAGGCACTGGTCATCGAGAGACCTGGAGATCGACTTGACAGGACGCCCCGTGGGGCTCCGCAGACTTCAGGTCGCAGAGGTGCGTTGCGGAGGCTCAGCTTGTCGATCCGCAGACTCAAGGAAATCAAGAAGTGCACTTCCCTGCATTTTGGTTCTGCTCAACCTCGCGAAGCTTGTTTTCTTGATACCCGAAGCCGCATGCATCCACCTGGCCAGTGCAAAATAGGTACGACCCTGACATCTTAGCTGCAGTGGGCCCGCTGGCGCCCACAGCGAGGCATCTATCTCATAGAAGCAGGAGATCTTGTGATGGTGTTGGTGCAGTTTTCATAATAAGGCCGGGTGTGGTGCGAGAGGAGGAGTTCAGCCAATTGCAGGAGCCGGAGACATGGGGTGATTTTTAGAGCGTCTCGTGACATGGTGATCCGGCAGCTGGAGACCCGAATCCTATCTGCTCCCAAACGTGCAGTCTTGTGGCATTGAGTTGTTTCCAGCCACAGCTGTCACGGCAGGACCGGGTTGCGGCTCTTGAAGCCATCATCGTAGAGATGGGGCACGGTCAGGTCATCTTGGCATCGCATCGCAGTCTTTATCCCGTGAAACCCACCTCCGAAGGCGCTGCGAGACGCGCGCTACGAGTCCAGCAAGTCGAATCGAAAGCTCGGGGGCTTAGCGCAAAGCGGGACTCGCGGCTCGCGAAGCAAGCGCGTCGCCGAATGTCGCCGAGGCCCGCGGTGGCCCCTCTCGCAGAAATGCTCCAGGGGACCGACACGGAGACGGAGACCCCAAAGCCCATCGCTGAGATCTGTAGAGATTTGCAGAGCTCGAAATCCAAGAGACCTGCCTCAGGTCGCAGGGTGTTCACCGCGAGAAGGCCTGGTGTCTGGGATTTCCGCTGTGGCTATGCTTCGACTTGCCGAAGCACTGCAAAGCCTTCTCGAGGCTCAGATCGACAGCATCCTGGAATCCATCCTTGCTGGCAGTCATACTCTTGGAAAAGTGTTGGATACGGGCAGGTGCTTGGTTTCGTGGTGAAGTGATTGTATTGGCCAAGGCCAGGACCTGGACGGGGAGGCCCGACGAGAGCACATGCTTCCGCGACATCTCAGCAAAGACTCACACATGTTCACATGTGCTGGCAGAGCTCAGAAACGGTGGCTTCCGCGGCGGACCCTGTCCGTCTGTCACACCAACAACAGGTGCCGTGGCGTGTCCTGAAGCCAACTCTTTCGTAGATTGTTTCGTCTTGTCCTGATCATGTCGGACGGGTGTTGAAAATACAGTAATCGCGACACAGTCACTGTATTGCCAGATACAATAAGCCGCCACTCGGTCGAGATTGTCGCTGAAGCCGAGCATGCTATTTCTGCCTCAGCAGATTATTCTGTCACTCATGTACACTGTGCCACTCTTCACTTCCAGCTGCGTGCAGGACCTGCCCTCCGAGACGTTTGCGAACAGCACCGTCAGCGAAAAAGATAGCACGGGAAGGATGCTGTTGAGACACGATCATGAGGAGCTACACGAATCTGGCCCAGAGCGGTTGCAAAGCTGTGAGACCGTCTGTTGGGCATTGGTTGGCTTGGCCTGAGACTGTGACGTACAGCATTTTAGGTGTTCCGGTCCGGTATCTCAGGGTTAAAGTGGGATGTCTTCCTTATGGTCCCCATGGTCGCTGAGCAGCGTTCGCTGGCTGGCTGTCTCACTGAGATCTTTCGTGCACAACTTACCTGGGCGCCACAGAAGGCATGGCGTCTCGGGGTTGGACCGAATCCCAGGTGGTGAGCTGCACCTCATACCGTTCGACAATGTGGCAACCCTGGCATGCAGTTGGTGCACAGTCGCAAGAATCTGTTTTGAGGGTCTAAATTACATCCTCTGTGCTCGGATGTGGTCGGAGTGCCAGCACAGCAGGCATCATCCCTTCGACAGGAACGGAGTGCCGTTGCTGTCGCGATCCGGCCGCTGCTTCTGCGCCTCCGCGAGGTCCGGCAACTTTGCACCGCAGACTCTGTAGACCCGCCAGCTGCCGGGGCGAGGATCCTCGCAATGGGGAAGGTTAGGAAGCCCTTGCAAAGCTTGAGCGCCAGGCAGAAGCAGCAGAGCTTCCAGATGCCTGGCGGGCCTTTGATGCCGCGACGATGATGTTGGCAGACCTCACTGCCTTGGAAGATTGGGGTGGTGAGGTCTTGTCTGAAACCCTGCGAGCGGCTGCAGTGCAAATTCTGTCGGCTCGTCACGACGTTTTGGAAGCTGTGGTGGACACGCACTTGTCTCGGCTGGCACGTTTTCGTTCTGATCCGCACGCCTGCTGCATGGAGCAGCATCTCATGACCTGGCGTTTGCTCGAGCGATCGTGGCACTCCAACTTTGCAGGGTTGGTAAAGGGCTTCCAGCAGGATTCTGTCCAGGCGCACGCAAGAAGTTGTCACGAGACCTTGCAGGGCTTGGCCAATGGAGCTCCGGTTGAGGTCTGGGTGTCCAGATTCGCACGCTGTGTGGATATCGAATTAGCTATTGACAGTTGCTTACCGAGCTATGCCAGCCTGGCGACTTCTTGTGCTACCACGTGGCTGAATCACAGCCTTCCTTTGCTACCCTGGATTCTTGCATTCTTGATTTCACCTACCAAGCAGTTGGATCTCATTGTCTTGCAACGTCTCCGCAATGCGCTGGAGGTCTGCAAAGACAGCCAAGCCCTAGCGCACATGCGAGATGCCCTTGTTAATGCCTGCGCACTTTTGTGTGGTGCCGCTTGGCTCCAAATGGAGCCAGTGTCATGGTTAACGTCCCTTCTGCATGCTATACACGAGGCATGCCAGGTGGTTTTGCCAGAAATTTCGCCAGGGTCTCTGGCGGCTGCGATGGCCGTGTCTTTCGCCCCTGCACTCGGCGAGTCCAAGGAACATCCACCGCCTTCGCCGCCTCCTTGGAAAGTGCTTGGAATCGACTCGCCAGTAGGGGCCCTGGACATCTCAGACCTGCGCCCGGCCCTGCCTCTGCCCGGCACTTCACAGAACGACAAAGCCCACCTCGCCGAGTCGATTGGCAGGGCTTTGCATGGCGAAGTCAAGGGGTGCACGGCTGCAGGTGCGACATGGTCCCGTAGCAGCCGTAGCAGTAGCATCAGTAGCGGCCAAGACGCCCTGGCGGACTCCTGCCAGGTGGCATATGGCCCGGAAAGATCGGGCCTCTTCTGCTCCTCTTCCGGCTCCTACCAGATGCAGGCCGCCTCACCGTCTTCTCTGTGGCCGATTCTACGAACGGAAGAGCGAGCACATCCGAGCACCGGCAAGTATTTCTAGCCAAAACGAGCAAATCACCAAGCCCAGAAGAACATTGATCAGCTCTGGAGACTCTAAGTTGTCTTGTTTACTTTGCGAGGAGGTGCTCCACTTCTGTGGCAAGCGCGCCTCATGTCTCTTCGTGCCCTGTGGGGGTTCCGAGTCCAGGATTCCGAGGTTGGGAGCTCAGAGAGGTGTGTCACGGGTGTCATAGTCCGCAGTTTCTGGCTTCTGGGTGAGGAGATCCATTTGGAATACCGCCTTCTGGATTTCTTTCGAAATGAATGTGGCCATGGACATTCTCTCCTACGACATGTCGCAGAGATCCTCCGAGAAAGCTCTTCGAACGACAGCGGGGAAGTCTTTAAGGCCACGACGCTCAACATGGCGGCTGCATCCAGCCTTAACTTCAACTCCATTTCAATGCTTTCGCTGTCGGAATCTCCGCCGGAATTGTTCTCTGCATCCCTACCGATTGTGGAGGCACGCTCTCGCTGGGCGGAGAGTTACCTGTCCAGGTATCCGAACAGGAAGCTCAGGTGGCGTGTCTGGGGTGCAGCGAAAGTGCTGTGGAGCCATGCACGGGGACAAACCTTGCTCACAACGACGGAGCTGCAAGCGCACATCCTGCTGGCACTGGGTCAGGGTGAGGGCTTCTCCCGCAAAGACTTCGAGGAGGCAGCGCTCACCTGGTCTCAAGCCGACAGCCATGATCAGGCCTGTCGCTGCTCTGCCCACCACCTTTCTGGGCTCAAAGCACATCTTACATTGTGTCCAAGTGTCACCAATTGTGTCATGCCTTGGAGAATAAGTACTCGCTATGCCATGCTCCCTACATCTACGGAGTGCTGAGACCGCTCACTCCATTGTCAAATTGTGTCAGGACCTCAAGCTGCAGGCTTGGCGCCTGGCGCTGGCACAGCTTTCAGCACCAGAAGGTCCAGTGGAGCTCGACGGCTCCGAGAGGCTGCGTGTGCGGCCAAGCTGTGGCCGCTCGGCGCTGGACCTCACCGAAGTGCCAGCCTTTTGCACGGAAAATCACAGACAGGCGGGCCGAGATCCGCAGATGCTCAGACCCTGCTCCAGAACGCGTCGAGCTGTGCAGGAACCCTCAAGTCCTTCTCGAGATGCCAGAGCACCTATCATTGATGCGGCGCTGGTGAGGATACTGAAGCCTCTCATCCGTAATTCGATGGGTTCGTGCTTCCGGCCGTGGCGCTGCCGCGTACTGTCGGACTGTAGGTTGTGCCGTGCAGGTCTTGTCATGTCTTATCGGCCGACGAAGTCTTGGCGAAGCTCGCGGCATACCCCGAAAGCCTCGCTTTGCCCGCGGCTTTGCACCGGTACGACCAAAAAACGCCCTTTGTTGCGCCGCTGCGCCGAGGCCGGAGAAGCTGCCCAGTACGGCCTTCTCGACAGCCAGGATGGCAGCTCAGGCAAGTCCTTCGGCTGAGACGAGAGCATTGGGAGTGCTCTGGACATGCTAGGATGCTGCAGAGTCCTTCGGCCGCCTCTCCTCGCTGTGCGTAGCCTGGCAAGAGCGTAGCACCTTCAGACGTGTACAGCTCGGCTTGCATAAAGGATGTTGCAAGCGTTCTCAGCTCTTGAATTGTTTCGGCACGTGCAAGGGCAGTGGGGCGGTGTCAGAACCTCTCAGGATCGTGGCATCCTGCGAATGGAGCGTCGCACCCTCATTCAGAGATGCAGTGCCTTGCTTGATGGTCTCAGACACTTCGCCATGGTCGAAGTGAGGCCTGGACGGTGAGACAACAGGCGAACGCACACGTGTGCAGAACGGCTGGGGACCGGGGTCCTCCCTTTGTGGGACGGGGGTGTTACATGTCTGTCTCTGAACCTTCTTTGGGGCCTGTGACTGCATGAGCAGCATGGGCAGACCGCGCGGGAAAGCAAGCAGGTCAGATCGACGCGGCCACACGCATCTTCTACGAGGATTGACATCGGCGACTCGGGCAACCAGGCGTGGAAGGAGCCAGGGCAGGCCCGAGGCGCAGGCCTCAGCTTGATGGTCAGCAGCTGCAGCGGATCAGCTTCAATGCTTCAGGTGAAGATTTCTGTTTGCATTGCCCCGCCCACAGAGTTCCTGCTGCACTTGGAGCCCTCGAGGACCTGCATGGGATTACCTAGAAACCGTTCGTGGACAAGCATCGGAGAGTCTCGCAGCTCCTCCTGCATGATTCTGACTGTTGCATTGTCATCGTCATGCGCTTGGCTCCAGCATCTGCGTTCTACCCTTACTGAGATCGAACCTATTGTAGTTTGCTTCTCGGTTGCAGTGCATTGCTGCGGCTTCTGCCTCTGCATTACCTCGGTGCGTGGCTCAGGGTCCCCATGCGCGCCCACCGCTACCTTCAGGCTGTCTTGGGCCTGGCAGGCCGTTCGGCCGTTCATACTTGCTTGGTAGCAAGGCGGAGTTTCTGTTGCAATCTGGTGCCAGGTGTGGCTACCGGCTTACTGAGGAGCTCCGTGCAGGCTCGCCGCATAGAGCTTCCATGAGCCTTTGAGTTTGACAGAGTTGCCGGTCGTGGAGGCTGAGTCCTCGGTGCAGGCGACAAAGGCACACTAGCTGGGAATGCCGGTTGCAGATTGTCAGGTCTCCAGATTTGGTACTGTGTAGGGTTGTTGAACCAGCAACCAACAAGGATGGGGCAGGGTCTATTGGATTTTGCTGCCCGTCGCATTGGACTTACTTCAGAATTGATGTCCCAGTCTTTGAAGGCCCCTCCTTGACCACAATATCTACTACAGAGTCCCAACTCTCTCGCTGCGTTCAGGTCGACGTGAACTGGGGAACGACGCACAGCTGTTTGAGGGACTAGACACTCTAGCATCAAGAGATTGAAGTACCTTAAATGTCCCATCGTGGAAGCATGAGCTGAAAGGTTAAGTGAGACTGAACGCAGGACCTGTTTTAACAAGCTTCCTGGCCAAACGACTGATATGAGGGCTTGGGTCATAACGAAGACGTGACAATTAGCTAAAAAATCGAGGTCGAACATCGTGACCGGTCTAGGTAAAGCTTGACCTCAGAGAAGACGAAGAGAGGGCTGGGCCTAGACCAGACCCTAAACCCAGCTGGAAGAGCGCAGTTCCCAGACTTCTGACGACGACTACTACCACAATTGCCACTAATACGACTGTTACTCAGTTACTACTGGCCCCAGAGCCGGCAACAAATTCATTATTGCAACACCCCCGCCGGCCAAAACAATTCAGGGGGCGGGAGGTATAGTCTCACAACTCGACCAGGAGTTGGAAGACTTGCAGCATCTGCCTTGGACTTCTTCTGGCCTCGTCTGAAACTGATGGCCGTGCCACGTGCCACGCAGGCAGAAGAACACACACCCACTTCGAGGGATCAACGTCATGGAAGCGTGTCGCAGTGGTGGACGTTTCGCTTCGAGAAAAGCTGCCGACCGGTTCGGTTCGACGGAGCTTTGGGCAACAATGCGATTGGTTAAATTGAATCGGTGGCTTGCTCTTCTCAGGATTGGGTGATTCTCTGCGGCCGTCAGACCGATTCGATCGCCCGTCTCCGGAGGGCTCAGGCTCTGGGCTTGCTCGAGAGAGTGCCAACCCGAGAACTGTTGCCACCTGATCGGAAAAACAACTGAACGAAACTAGCTGTGTCCCTTGTCTCAAGGGTTTAGAGTCTGCTGCCCTTCGATCCAAGGTTTTCCGCTTTGTTGCTCCCGCCTTTGTCCTTTCCTGCCTTTAGGGGTTGGCCGCCGATGGTGTTCTGTCAGTTTCGTGGCGTGGATCCGAGTCCCGGCCGGGACCGAAGTTGAAGCATGTGGGGATGGCCATGACCCTAAACCTTCAGGGCATCTGAACCCAAATCTCTGTTTAGGGTTTTGGCTTTGGCAGCAACAACCCCTTTTAGAGTTCTGGGTTTCGCAACCAACATCTCCTTTTGCAGCCACCATCTCCTGGTACGGTTTTCGGTTCTTCACCAACATGATTTTAGGGTTTAGGGTTTGCCAGCTTTCCATCTCCTTCTAGAACTTTGGGTCTACATCTGTTTTTTTGGGTTAGGGTTTCGCAACCACCATCTCGTTTCAAGGTCCTGGATTTCCCAACCAGCATCTCCTGGCAGATATCAGAGTTTGCCAGCTTTCATATCCTTTGAAGGTAGTGGTCTTCCGGGTCTCAAGCAGCCAAAGTCCTACTGTGGGGATGGCCGGAGTTCGGCGTCCATCGCCCTTGACCTTAACCCTAAGCTTCAGGGCATCTGATACAAAATCAGATTTGGGGGTTTTGGGGTTTGGCTGCCATGGTTTCGCAACCAACAGTTGCTTTTAGGGTTTAGGGCTTCTCAGATCTCCTATTTAGGGTTTGGAGTTTCTCTCCACCATCTTCTTTCGGGGTTTGGGATCTTCAACCACATGATCTTTTGGGTTTAGGGTTTGGCAGCTTTCATCCTCTTGTAGGGTTCCGGGTTTCACAGCCAACATCTGCTTTTACTGCTCTGGACTTCTCAACCACCATCCCCCTTCTAGCGTTCTGAGTGTCTCCGCCAGCCAACGTCTCCTGTCAGGTTTCAGGGTTCACCAGCTTTCATCCCCTTTTAACGTACTGGGTATCGAATCTTTTCGACTCTATCAACCACCATAATGCTCTTGGGACCTTGTCCCCAAACTTCAGGGCATCTCAACTAACATCTTCCTTTAGGGTTATGGGGTTGGGTTTCGCAACTAGCATCTCTTTTAAAAAAAAGGGTTTGGGGCTTTCCAACCTGGGGTTTCGCCACCACCAACTCATTGTACGGTTTTCGGTTCTTCAACCAACATGATTTTAGGGTTTAGGGTTT